CAGCCAAATTATCACTATACTCCAGTAGTGACATTGTATGGAATTAATATGCATTGTGCAAATATTTAAGAAAGATCACAATTAAGTATTTAGGGTGTTAGGACTTACTTTGTCTTTTGTAAAACTGCTTGGAAATGGTTTCGCAGACACTATAGGGATTGCATCTTTAGCCTACCAGTACCATCACCACTAACACAAGCCATAGTGGTTTTGGTTGTTTGGAGTGTTCTCACTTTCTATAACTTTGATTTCCCAGTAGATTCTAGATCACAGTGCCTTCTCAATTGCTGTTCCCGGCTTTTTCAGACAAGATGTAAGATTAATTTTCCTTCTGGTCTTTCCTTTCTTACTGTAGTTCTTGTGCAGCCACTGACTCTAACAGTTTTGTAAGATACTCTGACACCCATTTTGTTGGAAGCCATGTTGATCATCAAAATAAACTTTGATTGCTTAATTTGCTGTATTAAAAATGTAGCCTATGCTATGCAGCCCACTCACGGAATACTGACAGCAAATTACTGATCCTGTACATTAAAGAGAGACACAGATCTAAAACACTTACAATTTAGTGAACACACAGCACAGTTATTTTCTGATGACTGTCCTTTAAAGCAAATGGTATAAAATAATAGCAAATTTTATAAACAAATGATAAACACATTCCACCAATGTATACATATTAAACATACAAATAATAGTAATTTAATAGGGATAGTCTACAACTCACCCTGGAGTGGAATTACAAATTTCGTTATCTGAAAATCAAGGTCGCATCATACTCAAACAAGCTACTGGCAGACAAAAAAGCATGGTGCAATCAAAGCTCAACTAAGACCTGCAACTGTCCGATTTTTGCTTTATTTTATTTTATGAAGCCTTTGGACCCCAGTTTGTCCCAGAGCTGCCAGTCTTCACTATTTCATCCTGTTAAGCAGCTATAGCAGCTGGTAACATGAGCACTTGATGACCTCATGCAGGAGACAAGTATGCATGGTCTTCAACAGACGTTAGCATAGGATTAAACATAGAGCAGAGATGGGTCCAGTGTGTCAATCATAATAGTCTTATAACAAAGTTACAATTGTTAAATATATAACTGTAAAATATGTCCACTAAAGATTTAAACATTAATGGTAGGTGTAATAACGTAAAGGTATTGCTCTAAGGTTTCATATATTCTTCTGGATGAGTTGATGAGTTGTGGACAAAGTGATTTTGAGGTCTGTTGCTAGGTGTCACATGTTTTGAAAATTAATCCCATTTTATATTTATATATATATATATATATATATATATATATACATATATATATATGTATGTATATATATATATATATATATATATATAATAGGAGAGTACTGACTGATAGGTCATGGATACAGAAAGATATAAACAGCTTTTTTCAAAAAAAAATCAACATTTCGGTTGAACACACATACATACATCAATACAAAGTCCAATCCCACTATCAATACTTAAACAGGCAAAACCACAAAGCCACAATTGCAACACCTGTGCACCTTAACACACTTTATCATAACTCTACACGATTCCAAAATTACACAAAAACCCTTCTCGTCCACCAGGTTGACTTAAAGTGTTGGTTTGTTGCAATTTTTACGTTCCCAGTTATGGCTTTGGATACTTGTGTCTGGGACATTTCTCATGTGATAGAACACATTAAATCCATTTGGTTCATCGAACAGTCCCATATTTTGGTCTCCATAAATGGCAAAAACCTTTATACTATTATCCCCCATGTTGAGGGGATCGCAGCGAAGAAATGTGTGTTCCCATCTTGGGAAGTTTAATCTCTGCAATTGACTTTGTCATTGAAATTATACACCTTTATTTGTCCCTCAATTACTTCAAATTTGAACATCATTATTATTTATAAATTGCATGTACGTCCATCTGGGGGGTGAAGGCACCATGGATACAAATGCCTTTATGAATGTGTATGAACATTGTACATAAATACAATGTGTTTATACCTTGGATGCACTCAGATGCTGCATTACACAACTTTTCAAAGTTCTAAATAATCTACTAATGCTGATCGGATTCACTTACAAGTATAATAGGGATTGTTAAGAATTTTTGGATTTACAGATTTTTTTTTAAAGATGCTCGGTTAGCATACACCTTATTTGCAAAAAGCACAGACAGAAACTCCCTGCTTATAGAGGACAGTTTCCATCCAGGTGCTTTGAAGGACTTATTACCTGTGTCACAATTTGTTTAGGTTATCAGGAATAACTCTGATCATGATAGATGTTTGATAGAAATTTATGAGATGTATCAAATGTTTCTTCAATGTGGTTCTAGGAAATAAATTCTTGATAAGGCTTTGGAACGACATGGTCTAGAACTCGGGCAATGCAGCCCCAAAGATATACATTGGAGGATAGATTTGCATTTGTCCAGACATATAATCCACAAGCACGTAGGCACAAAGAGGTAATGGTAAAAAACTGGGAGATTTTATTTAAGGATCCCTCTTTATCCAAGAGATTCAAACATCTTCCAGTGGTATTATACAAACACAACCGTACTTTATGGGGCATTTTGGTTTGCACTGAACCGGTATCATCGTATACACAAGAGGTTGGCAAGTCGAACCTGGGCAAGTATAGGCTTCTTGGGTGTGTGACATTCAGGCAAATGCTACCTGGGCAAACATTTTTCAATCCACATATGGGGAAACAATTCTCAATGAAAGCACACTTTCCTTATACCGTCACCCATGTTATTTATAGAATTGTATGCCTATGTGGCTTATTATACATAGGCAAGACTGAAAGGGAGCTAAGGGTGCATGTAATGGCACAGTCCTCCTTGATTAGGTTGGCATTTAAGGATGGCATGTCAGACAAGCTGGAGGCCAAACTTTTTGTAAAGACTGGCCATCAATTACCATGTTTCGCTATATGGGACTTGACCATGTCACAGTTACCTCACGGTGGGTGAAATTGTGCACCGGAACTGTTAAGGTGAAATGCATACTTGATATATACACTTGGCACTATTGCCCCTAGGGGCCTTAATGAAAAAATAACCTTAATGGTTTCTTGGATGTCCGCAAATTTGGATTGTAATCCTGGTATATGCAATGTTTTAATATATTGCTTTTAAAGTGGGTGCTTCCCCCCTCCCTCCTATATTATACTTTTTAAGGTCCAGTTGTCCAGTTTTGTATCATATAGTTTGTTGCTTCACAGTACTGAACAGTAATATTGCAACATTGTATTTTCTTTGGGTGATGGTGATACTTAGTATCTTTATTCGCTATCTCAGTAAATTTCCTATTCTATCACTGGGGCCAGACTCTACCTTTTTAGGTTGGTGTTGGGGGAGCACATGTTACACTTCAAGTCAGCAGGTGTAGTAGGTAGATTGCGTTCCAGAGTTTGGTTCCCTTCAGCTGGTGAATTGGTGGGTGAGTTAAGTTGTACAGGTTGTACAGGTGTTGCGATTATCATTTTGCCTACTTAAATAATGTTTTGATGAGGGTCTGTGTATCATACCAAAATGTTGATGTTATTTTGAGCTTATATCTTTTTGTACCCAAGACCCGTGAGTGCTCTCCTATTTTGGATCATGTGTTTGACCGGAAACAAAACCCGGGCATAAAGATCAGAGTGAAGTCCGTGAGTGCATGGCTCTGCTTATTAATAATTGACAGCAAGACTTCTGATAACTTATTTGGCACACTTTTTGTGTTTTACTTGCTAAGAACTATCAAGAACTGCAATGTCCAGAATGTAGTTCTCTTGTCACTGGAATTATATCTGAGACACTTGGACTTCCATATTAATCTTTATAATTGCATTGTGTGTGTGTGTGTGTGTGTGTGTGCACTAAAACTCTAGGCAATACTTCACAATATTTGTATTAAAACTGAAAAGAATGAGTAATGAGAAGACTAATGCTGAATTATTATTGCCTAAAGCATGTCTGCTGTGTCTTTTACAGAGTGAAATATTGTAATATATTGTTTATTTGGTTCCTGTCTGTGTCTAAAATATATCCATACAAGATACAGAACAAAATGCAGCAATATGGAATGAAATATGATCCATTTAATGCTATATATACATATATATATATATATATATATATATATATATATATATATATATAATGAGTTCAACAGGGAAGGAAGAGATGCAGAGCCAGCACAGACGTTCAGCGTCTACACGCTCTGCATGGAGATGCTGAACTTTCCCCATAGAGATGCATTGATTCAATGCATCTCTATAGGGAGATGCTGATCTGCTAGGGCAGCGTTAGGCCCTCATTGGCTGAGATCATCAGAATTGGTGATCTCAATCGTCAATTCTGAGATCATCAGTTCTGATGATGTCAGCCAAGGAGGCAGATCAGGACGGGGCCAGATGCAAGCAGCTCCGTACGGCACTGGAAAATGGTGAGTATATCACCATTCTAACCTGAGGTAAGGAGGGCCCACCACCTAAACAGTGGTTTTAGAACTATAGTATCAGAAATACATGTTTGTGTTCCTGACACTTTAGTGACCCTTTTACAGGGCCAGATTAACATAGGGGCTGATGGAGCTGCAGCTTTTTTTTTTTTTTTTTGCACTCTTTTATTATTATTTTTTTACACATTACTCATAGAGTTGCCACCTAGCTGGTATTTTATGGTATTTGAGACTGCCTGGCCGGTGCCAGTATTGCAGTAAAAGCGGCAATACAAATGCCGGTATATATTTCTTAGTATAAACAGAAATTACTTTGCAATACCGGCTCTGGCCAGTAGGGGTCACGGTGTGTGGAGAGAGGCAGGGATAGGAAGTTACAGCATCTCCCTGCCTCTCTCTACTCACTGATCCGCGAGGGAGCAGCTACACAGCACAGAGAGTCCAGATAGCAGCTCCCAGCCTGCAGAGACTACAGCTCAAGTAAGTGAGGGATGGGGGGAAAGGCTGCAGGGAGACATGGGGACACTGGGAGACATGGAGACGCATGGAGACACAGACACTAGGGGATACGGAGGGACTTGGGGACACTGGGAGACATATGGACACTGAGACACTGTGTCCCTAGTGTCTGTGTCCCCATGTCTCCCTAAGTCTGTCAGGGACTAGGGACACAGTGTCTCTGTGTCCATATGTCTCCCAGTGTCCCCAAGTGCCTCAGCATCCCCTAGTGTCTGTGTCTCCATGCGTCCCCATGTCCCCATATCTCCCAGCCAGTGTACTTAGTGTCTCAGTGTCCCCATGTCTCCCAGTGTCCCTATGTCTCGGTGTCTCACTGTTTCCCCTAGTGTCCCAATGTCTTACAGTGTTCCCATGTCTCTTAAGTGTCCCCTAGTGTCCGTTGTTTAGAGCCGGGTCCATAGCACGCACGCCGTCCTTAGGGGGTTAAGGCATGTTCGCCTCTTTCGGCAGTTCAGATTATATAATTTGCATCAGTGGCACACCCTTTTACCCCGCCCATTCACTGCCTGCTTCACTGGACACTGCTGTTAGGGGTATGGATTTACTTGAAATATGAAAGCATGAATTAGAGAGAGATTAGCATAGGGTATGTGTTTTCTCACAGCTGCATATTATGAGTTTCCCTCCAGCACCACTTCCACCATATACATGACGCTTGGGAGGTATGACTGTTTTAGTGTTTTTGGTCGATAAGATTCTGTAATTAGGCCCATCATAATTGTCAGCACCAGGTTCTAAATCTGGCCCTGCCCTTTGAACTTTAAAAAAGACTAACTCAGTATCAAGAGAAATACAATACAATATTAAAATTCTGCAGTACCACTCCAAGCCATCACTGCACTAGATCTTTTAGATATAACACACCTGAATAACGAGGTTCATTAACTAAAAGCAGAATGGGAATTTTGTCGAGATCAGTACAATTTACTAAAGGCAAATAGAATCACTTCAACCAAATGACCACATCTCTCCTGTAGCATCCAGTGTCTAATTTAAAATAAGTAATTCTCAAACTATATGATTCACATATTTATAAAACACTGAATTTGAACCAGATTAACTCTGGTAGAAGGCACATTCACAGTAAATTAATCTTACAATAAATTAATCTTCTTTTTTAATAATTCCATATTAAAAGGTCAGTCTAAGCATCATAACCATCTTACGTTTTCTAACTTTTAATTATATCACTTTAAACCGGTATTAAGGATAATCATATGTTTTGCATATAATCACACAAAAAAATAAATAATTATGTAGGTTGGGATTTGTTGAGAACAGGCTACCAATTTTATACAGTATGTATAAAATATACATGTACATATACATGATTTATTCCTATGTATACATGTATATTCATATTTACAATATTACAATTATATTATTTAATGTATTTACAATGATTTAGTAATTATAATTCATTATAGATAATTGTAATTATAAGTTTTTTTATCTTTGTAATTGTGTCTTCGTGTAGTCAATAGATATATACAGCAAATAGTTGAGTGAAATGATGTAAGATATATAAAAAAAAAGTTTTAAAGAAACAAGATGACTCATATGCAATTCTAAGTTAAGCTATGCTGAACATTATGCCCCCAAGGAAAATATCCATAAGACCTCCTTAATAGTGCAGATACAGTATGGGAAATCTCAGGGTACGACTGAATATATCCTCAGGGTACAACATTTAGCATAGTTTATATATTACTAGAAGAAAATTGCAGCCTCCAGTTACATTTGTCATACACATTTTAGCAAAAGTAAACATAAAATGATTCAGTTGATCTTGGAGCCCACACCTTAATGCCATAATATCTTAGTTACAAAAATTCTTTAACCTTTTAAGGAAAAATGCAGGTCTTTGTCATCATGACTATCTCATATTTAAAGATGTTTATTTCATAACGGAACGTGACACTTGTTTCAAGAGATAACAGCTGCACAAAGCTGCCATTTTTAAAACAGCGAGGCATTCTGACATGAGGTCTTTAGGGCTGACCAGATTGTGAAGCTGGCAAAGAATATTATTTACTCTTAAACAAAACTGTTCTGTTTTTCTATCATTATTGAAAATAAAATTTTACATGGATTGTAACTCACATACATTCTATTTGGATTCATGAAAATGTGCACGCCATTAATTATCTGTACGGTCCTTGGTTGGATAAGCAGTGCTTGTGACTAAAGAAGACTTAAAGGGACACTATTTAGTAATTTTACAACGTTAGCTTAATGAAGCTGTTTTAGTGTATAGATCATACCCCTGAAGTTTCACTGCTCAATTCCCTGCCATATAGAAGTTAAATCACTTTTGATTCTGTCCACGCAGCCTTACTCACACCTCCCCTGTCTGTGACTCACACACCCTGTATGAGAACAAAATGGTTTCATTTTCTATCAGATGTACTTACTTTAAAAGTTTTCTTTAATCTCCTGCTCTGCAAATTAAACTCTACTTACATAAAGGAGGATGCTGCATGGTGTAGCAAGCTATTAAAAGAGCAGGTATAAGAAATTCTAAATTAAACAGAATGTGTAATAAAGGAGGTGTAAACATTAGATGACTCTTTACAGGAAATGTTTAGGAAGGCTGTGTCCGTCACATGCAAAGATGTGACTAGGACTGCATAAATAAAATGATTTAACTGCTAAATTGCAGAGAATTTAGCAGTGACACTGCAGGGACATGATCTGTACACTAAAACTGATTAATTAAGCTAAAGTAGTTTTGTTGAGTATAGTGTCCTTCTGGCTGCACTAGGCTACAAAGGTAATCCAAAATGTGCATTGAAAAGTGGTATATGCGTATATGCATGCTTTACAAAATGATAAACACACAGACTGCAATACAAGAAATTGTATTTTTAAGTAATAACTCAATTTACAATACTTTACCTTTAAGTGATTAAGATGTAGTCAATAACATGTAATGTGATTTAATTTCTGACTGCAGCCTTAAAAAGATTGCACAATAAAACAGGATCCCTTACATTCCATTACATCTATTCGCAGTCTAATAGTCCAACTCAGAAACAACTTAGTAAACTTTAAAATAGTAATAATATAATAATTACATTTTTTTTTATGGATTTCTAAATGTAGCTCTGCTAATCTCTACTAGAGCAATGGTGATTAAAGTGGGATAATGAATAGCAATAAAACCTTCCATAGACTCCTACTTGTTGTGTATATTATTTCCACCAACTTACAATATCAATATTTGCAATGTTTTAAAACTAAGGGCAGAGTTTTTCTTTTTCTATATATAGAACATTTAGTGGTTTTCTTTTAGGGACTGCCGGCAATGTTCCTGTTTTTACGGATATTTTCCTGCTAGATTTCAAATACGCATTTTGTCTTACTTATACATTTCAGGAGAGATGTCAACTGAGGTTACAGCTTGACACATTTTTTCCTCTACGAAGGAACAACGTTGCAATTCAGCTATTTTGAAAGAATTCTTTTAGTATAGGGTGACAGGCAAAGTGTTGCTTCACTTCTGTATCAATAGTTGAAATCAAAAAGGATGATGACTTGGCTTTTTCTTCGAGCCACGTTAATAAGGGGGGCATATGAAAAAGATACACTGTGTGTATGCATTTTAAGTCGTGAAGTTTTGTAGTATGCATTTTTCTTAAGGGCCTATTATTGAAGCTGTCATACGGCAATTATTATATGGCACTTGATACCAAGAGTATGCTTTAATGATATAACATTATGCAACTATACCAACGTATAAAACAACACCCGTATTAATAATAAACAGCAATCTATATTGTTATTGTATAAGAACATACATCACACAACAAAAAGCACAAAATCACATAAACACATAACAGGAGTAGTTCTAGAACTGAAATATTTTGAAACTGAAATATTTTGGGTCCCAACATAGCTTCATGCACAAAAATGCTAGAACAGGGAGGTGAAGGGGAGAAGGGGAGGGAGTGCAAGGTGGGTGGGGGGACCAGACAGGACTATAGTGTTAGGAATACAACTTTCAATTCCTAACGCTATAGTATCACTTTAAACTTAAATGCAAATAAATAAATGAAATGTCATTAAAAAAAAAAAATAATAATAATAATTTTTAACATTTGAAGTTCTTGGATTCTGCAAAACTTTAAATAAACCAGGAAGAGCCTTTGGAAGAAGAAAGAGAAGTACTTACATTTGGGAGGGAGAAAATATCAAATAACTCCATGACAAATCCCTTCATATCAGGACAATGAAATATAATTGGTGACTTATGGGTTAGAGGGATACTCGAGACCCGCAAATCACTTTAGCTTGCTGAAATGCTTTATGTGTAAAGAATGTGTGCTCTTGTTTGTTTGTTTTTTTTCATTTTACAAATAGTGCATATTTACTAAGAAATTGGCACTTTTATAAATTAACCTTGTTACACCCCTGGCTGTCAATGAGACAACTGGCCCTGTTACATTCTGCATGTTTAGCTTAGTGGATAACTGCTCTGACTACCTGCCTAGCAAACACTTCTTATTGAGCTACATTGGGAATACTGTGATTGGTCAGACACAGAAAGTCTGGGCTGGGGAAGAAGGGTGGGGCTTGCAAAGGCAGCAGACATGAGATCTTTGCAACTTTTGCAAATTGTTTGACATATACGCCCTGTTTAAAAAAAAAAATACATTGGGCAGTGGATTGTCCCTTTGACATAAATGATATGGGGGGCAATGCTTGTTACTATCAGGGTTTTCCCATGTTGTCATTTTATTAGAGCAGATAGTTTAAGTTGGCCTTATTTGTAGCTCACCTCTGCCACTGAGTTATAGTCTTTTCTTTTTCATAAAGCTTGTTCTTTGGGGGAAAACAGTTGACAGACTAATTATTTCCTGCAGAATGATAATTTTTTAAATGTATTGAATTATTTGAAGCAGGTGTTGATATGCATGTATCCAAAGGGAATGCTTATTATTTAAAGATTGAACATATTGTCTGACTTTCTATATTGATTGCACCGAAATAATTTCTTACAAACTGAGCAATCATTTCTTGTTTGTCTTTTTTTTTTCATTTTAATTTATTTTCTTTATTGATTGCTTGTTTTGACAAAATACATGAAAAGTGACAACAATTTCGTCTTTCGTTATTCTTTCTCATGTATTAATTTGCAAAAATATGATGAATTAGGAAAAAGTAACAAAACACACCCACAGCTTTAATCCTGCTTTTCTAGATCGGGAG